TCGTGTATATTCTATATAGAAAAAGACACACCTGGTTCCGAAGGGGCACATGCACTCCGATGTTTATAGCAAGCCCTATTGCCAAAGTATGGAAAGAGCCCACTGTTCATCGACAGATGAATGGATAAAGAAAATATATACACCACATCTTCTTTATCCATTCATCTGTCGATGAATATATATATTGAATATATATATATGAATATATATATATAATGGAGTACTACTCAACAATCAAAAAGAATGGAACCTTACCATTTGCAATAATGTGGATGGAACTAGAGTGTTTATGCTAAGCAAAAATAGACAGAGAAAGACAAATATCATATGACTTCACTCATATGTGGAATTTAAGATACAAAACAGATGAACATAAGGGAAGGGAAGCACAAATAATATAAAAACAGGGAGGAGGACAAAACATAAGAGACTCTTAAATACATAGAACAAACTGAGGGTTGTGGAGGGGTTCTGGGATGGGGAATGGGCTAAATGGGTAAGGGGCACTAGCAAGGACACTTGTTAGGATGATCACTGGGTATTATACATAGGGGATGAATCACTGGACTCCTGAAACCATTATTGCACTATATGCTAACTAACTTGAATGTAAATTTAAAAAATTAAAAAATTTTAAATTAAAAAAAAAAAAAGAAAAAGACATACCTGGTCTGTGTTCTTGTAATGCCTACAGTCTGATGGGGAAGGCAGACCCCATGTCAGTACACAGGTAAATAGGAGACTAGGTTGAGTTCTCTGAAGAAAACAAACAGGAAACTGGATGAAACTCAGTTCCATTTACTGAGAGAATGAAGACTGAGGGGAGCAGGGAAGGAAATCAAGGGTTCCAACCTCAATACGTCATCCAGAGATGTCAAGTAGGTAGTCAGGTACAGGAGTTGAGTGCTCAGAGAAGAAGTCTGTGATCCTTCCAGGCTCTCTCAGGTTCTATTTCTTCTTGGAAGTTTTCCCTGATAACCTAATTCCTAGTGATATCCTTTTCATGACATGGATTCATTGATTCACTGATTCAACAAATTCTCTCTGTTGAATTTTCAACAGATTCTCAGTAAGATCTTCTCTGTGTAGACATAGTGTTGGCCCACTGCCCTCAAGGAGTGTATATTCTAAGTGTGGAGTCAACATATAAAATAGACAATTATAACACAGACTGGTAAGGGCTGTGTTCAAGGGAAGTGCAAGGGGCTGTAGGAGAATGGGCTTCTGTATCAGCCAGGCCTTGAAGGAAGCAAATGGCCATCTCAGGTCAGTAATTTGAGGAGGCTCTATTCAAAGAGGTGGGCAGGGACTAGGGAGACCACAAGGATCCTGAAGTACCCTGGGGCTTGAAACATTTGAGCATCATTACCTGCCCAGGCCTGCAGGGGAAGAGGGAAGAAGGTGGTTACAGGAACGGGGAAACAAGGAGCTCTGACATAGGGCTGACAGAAGCTGGGAGCTTCAGCTGAGGAACGCAGCAAAAGAAACAACAGCAAAAGATTTTTTTTTTAAGTTAAATATATCAGATGATGTTAGGTGTTACTGAAAAACTAGGCAGAGAAGGCAATTAGGGAGGGTAGCAGTAAGGAGGGATTAGGATTTGTATACAGGCTGGTCAGGGAAGGCCTCAGCAAGAAGGTGGCACTTGAGCAAAGACTTGAAGAAGGTGTATCTCCAGGTAAGTCTTTCTCTGACACCTTCAATCAGCCCACCCCACTGCCCAACCTGTCCTCAAGTCAAGGCCTTGTCTCCAACTTCTTTGGATTTGAGAGTCCCTGAAGGTTGTTCTCAGACTATGGTCTCCCTGAGACAGAAACTGTTCTATCCTTTCTTTTCTCATCTAATAACAATAGGAGCTACCATCTATTAAGCACATGCATCATGCTGGTCCCAGCTCTGGGCCCGTTACACACATTGGGTCATCTAAGCTTCACTGGAAATCTACAAGGCACAGGAAAAGAAAATGAGGCAGCTCAGTCCACGTTCCAAGAACCCCTTAGGCACCTGGCTTCCCTGAACCTTCCCAGGAAGGTTCCTGCTCCATTCTCACTCCAGAGCAGGGGAAGTGGAAAACAGACCTTAAGTTTCTGAAGGACCAAAAAAGAGAACACAAATTAGGCATACACTTTCTGTCTCCAGTGGGCACAAAGACCAAAGGGTAGAAGTAACTAGGAGGCAGTTTTTGTCAAAATGTGAAAACATCCTAACAATCAGAACCTTGGCTGCTTCACAAGCAATGAGCTCCTTGTCACTAAAGATGTGCCAGAGAAGCTGGAAAATCTCATGTCAAAATGAAATATAGGTGGGGCACTTGGGTGCCTCAGTGGGTTAAGCTGCCGACTTCAGCTCAGGTCATGATCTCACAGTCCATGGGTTCAAGCCCCGTGTTGGGCTCTGTGCTGACAGCTCAGAGCCTGGAGCCTGCTTTGGATTCCGTGTCTCCCTCTCTCTCTGCTCCTCTCCCATTCACACTCTGTCCCTCTCTGTCTCTCAAAATAATAAACCTTAAAATTTTTTTTTTAAATTTTTTATAGTTTATTTTTGAGATTCAGGGCTCAAACCCATGAACCTTGAGATCATGACCTGGGTCGAAGTCAGATACTTAACCAACTGAGCCACCCAGGCACTCCTAAAAAATTTTTAAAATGAAATATAGGGGATTCTTAGGTAAGGGATTTGACCAGATAACTTTTTTTTCTTTTTTTTTAATTAAATATTTTTATTTATTTCTAGGAGAGAGAGAGAGAGAGAGAGACAGCGTGAGCAGGGGAGGGTCAGAGAGAGAGGGAGATACAGACTCTGAAATAGGCTCCAGGCTCTGAGCTGGCAGTCAGCACAGAGCCCGTCGCGGGGCTCGAAACCACAAACCGCGAGATCATGGCCTAAGTGAAAGTCGGACGCTTAACCGACTAAGCCACCCAGGCGCCCCTTGACCAGATAACTCTTAAGAGTTCTCCCAAGTTAGATTCTATCACTATATGATTCTAGAGCTCTAAGATGGTGTGATTCTAAGACTATGATTCTAAATTTGTGTTAAAACTAGAGATAATCCCTATCTTCAAAGAATTTGCAACTTAGTAGATGAGATGGGAAAATAGTTACTTTTGATAAGTGTAATGAATAGTCCTATAGAGTACATGCAAGACCCGCGGCAGACTGGGGAAGGAACTCTACCTGAACCAGGGCTATTTTCTCAAGGCTGATCTTAAGAACCACTCACATCAGAATCATTTGGGAATCTTATTTTTTTATGTTAATTTCTGAGCTGCATTACAGATCTCCTGGATTAGAACCTCAAGTGTGGCACCCAAGTCTACTTCATAAGAAGGAGCTCCTAGGTGATTCTTTTTTTTTTTTTTTAATCGTTTTTATTTATTTCTGAGAGAGAGAGCGTGAACAGGGGAGGGTCAGAGAGAGAAGGAGGTACAGAACTGGAAGCAGGCTCCAGGCTCTGAGCTGTCAGCACAGAGCCCTATGTGGGGCTCGAACCCATGAACCGTGAGATCATGACCTGAGCCAAAGTCTACGCTTAACTGACTGAGCCACCCAGGCGCTCCCTAGGTGATTCTTAGGCAGACTGAAATTTGATACTGCATGCCCAGGGTCAAGATGACTTCCGTGAGATGAGATAATCAGACTGAGAAAAAGAAGTAGTTGGATCAAAATACATAACCACAGAAATAAGATGGCAGTAATGTGTTTTGATAAAGAATAGCAATTTTGTACAGCATTCCCTCCACATGGTAGGTCTTTTAAAAATGATAGCACTTCTTGGGGCACCTGGGTGGCTCAGTTGGTTAAGTGTCTGACTTCATCTCATGGTTCATGGGTTCAAACCCTGCTTTGGTCTCTGTGCTGACAGCTCAGACCCTGGAGCCTCCTTTGGATTTTGTGTCTCCCTTTCTTTCTGTCCCTCCCCCACACATACTCTGTTTCTCTCTGTCTCAATAATAAATAAACATTAAAAAAATAAATAAAATTTTTAACATGATAGCACTTCATAAATACAATCTGAGATTTTGATAAGGGCCTCAGATATCCTGGAACAGATCTTTTTACAAGGGTGCAAGAGCTGGCCTCAGTTTATTAGTAATTATTCCAAGGTGGGAGGCTGTTAAAGAGAGCTCTAATAAGGACTCCCACAGAGTGCCTGGGAGGCTGTTCCCTGCCACTGTCCACTCCTCTGCGCATAGCTTCCTGGCCCTCATTTTCCAGCTGTCTCTGACTGCTTCTCTTTTCTGGAGCATGCAGTCATCATCAAGAAAGCAATAGTGTGAGGGAGGGCTTGGTGGCCACAAGTGCAGGGTGTTCTGGGACACGAGGTATGGCTGGACAACAGCTGTCTGGGCATGTGGGGAGCAGTTGAGGCTTGGAAGGAGGAGATGTCAGCCGAGGTGAAGGAGAGAAGGTGGCATAGTAGATTCTAAGTCTGAGCTCCACTGCTGACTTCTCAGTGAGCCTGGACAAGTCCCTTCCTGGACAAGCTGACCTGTGCCTTCCCGCCTGGAAAAGAGGGTTTGTGTTAGATATCTCCAGTGCCCACCAGCTTTAATATTTTGGACTCTACAGTCTCATCTGACCCAAACGACCACGTCTGGTGAAGAATACAGGCAGGAAGTGTAACCATTTTACAGCGAGGAAGCTACGGCGCAGCGCGGAGCAGTGACTTGCCCACCACCACACTGCCCCTTAGTAGCAAAGCCTTCTTCCACCAGCACCAACGTTCATCCTCGCCTTTTGGAGACCAGTCTCAGGCTGGGTAAACTGAAGCAAAGCGAGAAGCATTTGGTCTTCCGTCCAGGAAGTCAGCACTGCGGGGGACGGAAGGATAGGAGCCCTCGGGCTGTGTGAGGCCAAGCAGCTGGGCGGGGGCGCCCGAAGTCAGCCTGGGTAGAAGTGGGTGTGCTGGGGGCCGGGCGGGGCCGGGGGAGGAGGCGCCCTGGCGAAGGTTAAAGGGAGCAGAGCGCTGGTCGGGGCGCAGAGCTAGGGGTGTGCGGCTGTGTGCGGACTGGCAGGCGGAGCGCGGAGGGGTGCTGCGCGGGGGCGCTGCGGGGCACAGAGTGCGGCGTCCTGCAGACAGACGGGCGCTCCTCAGAGGCTTGCCTAGAGGCAGGTAAGGCACCCTCGCAGGGTCGGGAAGGCTGGGCTGCAGCCGAGGGTAGAAGTGAGGAGTCTTCCCGCTTCCAGGGAGAACGCCGACCCGAGGTGCGGAACCGCTCACGGGCGGAGCTGATCTCCCCAGACCCGAGCTGCAGGGATCCCGGGACCCCACGTGGGAGTGCGGAGCTGGGCTCCTGGCACTCCGAGCTGAAAACCGTGGGGGCTTGCACTGGCACAGGCCCCGGGTCGCGGCTCCAAAGCTCTTTCCGCGCCACGTCCACAAATGTGCGCGCGAACACCGGCGAGTCCGCAGAGAGCGCACACGCAGAAACACCCCGCGGGGACCCCGCGCGGTCTTCTTGCTCTGCCGGAGCTGACTTGCCCGTTCGCCGCTGCCTTGTGTCCTGCGCCTGGGGACTTTCAAAGGCACACCTTCCTTTGCTAATAACAGAGGTCTAGACTGGGCGGGAAACTGGAGTTCCAGTTTACAGGTTGTGTAAACCTGTGCAAGTCCCCTACCGGCTGTATGCCTTGTGCTTTTTTTTCCTGGGTCGCTACCTATAAAATGGGCTTCTTGGTCCTGTTGTCCGAATACTCTGTGTGACATGAGGGGAAAGAGGTCTGGACCTGGGATTCTTTTATCTAGAAAGTTGATGAGTTCAGACCGACCCTTGTATGAAGGCCCATGAAGAGTATCTCCTCCTATCCCTCCTCCCCACTCTTCACCAATTTGCATATGGGGAAACTGAGGCAGGGCTGCAGGGAGATAATTTGCCCAGGAACATACCAGGACCAAAAAGAAGCAGAACCTAAGACTCCTCACTTCTAGTCCAGGGCTCTCTCTGCCTCACCTACAAAGGTGCGTTGTAAATGTGTAAGTTCCTCATTTTCTAATGGCATCCATCCACTCTGGTGGTTTCAAATGGAGGAGGCACCTGCCTCCATGGCATGGAAACTGCTTTCAGATTTTCTTGCCTCTTCCAAATGATAACCAACAACCGTCTTCATCCCTCACTCACTCTATAATTCCAAAACACATTTCTATCCATAAACTGAAGGAGTAGGTGCTCAAAATACCTACCAAGAGGGAAGTAAGGCAAAACCCCCATCTTACTGATGGGGAACATGAGGCCCAGGGTAGAGCTGTGACTTCACTGGGACACAACGGCTAGACACAGTCAAATAGGGGCAAGTCTTTTGATTCCAATTCCTGTGTGTTCTCCATCAACTATAGGACTACCAAATGGCACCTCTCAAGGGAAAGGGACTACGGGGCTGATCAGAATATGAGAAACAAGGAAGGCTTCTGAAGGAGAAAGTGTGTCAAGAATCAAGAAGAGTAATAAGAAGCTGTTGGGGAGAGAGAACTGAGGCAGTGGGGGTGGGACAACACAGGGATGGTTGTTCTTGGTAATCTGGAGGTGGGGGGTAGAGAAGCAGGAAAGGAAACCAGGTGACTCGACTGCACAATAATTGCCTCTTATGTTTCTATAATACTTGGCAATTTCTAAAACACCTTCCTCTGTTGTCTTCCCCAGTTCGCATGCGAGGTAAACAAGGCAGGGATAATTTATCCCCATCTCATACATGAGTTTTAGAAGAAATAAATGCAGTGCTCAAGGTCACATACCGAAGCTTAGAGCCAAGATTGGAACCATGAAAGGCACATATGAAAGGCAAAATCACAGGCTGGGTGACTGGAAGTTGGACTGTGTGTGTGCAGTGGTTGGGTGTGTGTGGCCACACCCTGAGTAGGTACACAGGAAAGCCGCTGCTTAGTGTTTTGGGGCCAAGAATGTTTGCTCTTTGGATTGAATGGGGTTCAGGTACAGGGAACATCTGGGCTTTCAAAGAAGTCTTAGAATTTCTTCTCCTCTGAGTCACTTCCCCACCCGACTGAGACACCTTCTTTTCTTTGAACTGTCCCTTCCCCAAATCAAATCAAATCTGTTTGGGCCTGTTCTTGATTTTTAAGTACTGTAAGTGTTTTCATGAATGTGTATGTGTGTACTGGATGGAGGATGCTCTAATAAGAAGTGGCATTGATTCATTTATTTCTTTAATCAATTTTTAAAATGTTTATTTTGAGGGATAAAAAGAGAAAGAACACAAGCAGGAGAGGGACAGAGAGAGAGGGAAAGAGAAAATCCCAAGCAGGCTCCACACTGTCAGTGCAGAGCTTGATGCAGGGCTCAAACCCACAAACCACGAGATCATGACCTGAGCCGAAATCAAGAGTCAGATGCTTAACCAACTGAACTGCCCAGGTGCCCCTGGTTCATTTATTCTTGAGTGCCTACTTTGTGCTTGGGCCCAGGGATTAAAGAAATATATGAGAGACAGGTCCCTGCTCTCACACCTCATAGCACATAGTTTAGCATACATATCTACATATATTGATACCTATACATACATACATATACACTTTCAGTATAGCAAAGTGCTCTAATAGGGTTTTATGCAAAGCACTTTAGGAACAGACAAGAGGGAAAGATTAACTGGCTAGGGAGTGGGGAAGGAGGTATCTCAGGAGAGGGTCTACAGAGGTGACATTGGAGCTGGGTCTTGAAGGATGAATAGGAGTTCACCAGGAAGATAAAAAAAAGGGGGGGGGAAGGGAAACTCCTCTTCTTAAGAAAACAGCATAAGCAAAGGCAAGAGGTGTGCAAGTGTGAGGAATGTTCGGAGAATGGTCTGTAGCTCACTATCGGTAGGCAAAGGAACTGGGGAGAGACAGGGTCACATCCAAAGAAGCTTAAATGACAATATGAGAAGGTTAGACTTTCCTACAGGCAACAGGGAACTGATACTAGAAAGGTCTGTGGATGCGATACCAATTTGTGATCCCAGTTCATGGGGCTGTGAGACCTTGTGCAAGTGGTTTCCTCAGGGAGGGGATGCTCTATTTTCCTCTGTTTGGATGGGGATTGTGCCAACAACATAATTAAATTATTAAGATCCCTTTCAGCTCAGATTCTATCCCTTTGTCTCCTTCCAACTTTGTATTAAGGTCCATACCTTGAACTCCTCCTCCCACTCCACTGGCTCCCCAGTCCATGGTGGTGATAAGATCTGCAGAGGGACCAATGGCAAAACTGTGTGGTCTCAGGGAATGTCTTTGGGTCCCCGTCTGCTTTGTGTGACTTTTTCCCCCTCGCCTCTCTTTACCACATTTCTAGACACTTAAGATGTTCATTCTGAAAGAGTAGCTGAAACAGAGTAGTGGGGAAACCAAAAGAACCAATGGTGGATTTTAATTTTCTCCAGAGAAACCTGAAAAAAAACCTAAGATGCCCAGTTCATCTTTCAGATCACAGCTTTACAGTCCCACCCCCAGGTTAGACACCTGTGAGTTCAAGTCAAGGACATTTAGGGATGGGGCACCTGGCTGGCTGAGTTGGTAGAGCATGAGACTCTTGATTTCAGGGTTATGAGTTCAAACCCCACGTTGGGCATAGAGCTTACTGTAAATAAATAAATAAATAAATAAATAAATAAAGGAACATTTAGGAAGAACCTGTAAAGGTGCAGGAAATAGCAATAGAGTGTGGAGGAAGAGAGTGAGCCTACCTTTTGGGGGATCAGGAGTGGGTCTAGAGCAGACAGGACCACAGGAGATGAGATTATAAAGGACGGTTAACTCTCTTCCAAAACGTGCCATCATCCCCGCCCGCCCCCCACCCCCCCCAGCGCCCAGATCCTCGATTGGTGAGAATCTGCAGTACAGGAAAAAGTAAAAAGTATGGACTTAGAGGATAGGATGCTACAGAACACGAGAAGACTGTGTTCCGTGTGATGCACAACTCAGAAGTAGGGAATGTTGCCACTTGTGGTGGAAAGAGCACCTTAAGAGCACATGCCCCCCAAAACCCCAGAGACCTCGTCCTCATCAGAGCTCTGACCTTCACTAGCTATGTCATTTTGGGCAAGTCACCCACCCTCTCAGAGCTTCCGTTTCCCCATCTACAAAATGGAGGCCTTGGCCTAGAATCTAGATTCTAAGTAATCTTTAAAACCTCTTTCAGTGTCATCAGTTCCTGATAACTGAGCTATCTCCTGTTTCAAGTTAAGAACTCTAGAGCAGAGCTCTATCTGCCCCTTTATGAACTTTATAATCAGTGACTATCTTGACAACAGAGGGCGAGGAGCTCAGAAAGAGAGACAGAATTCTCAGTGTTGCCAACTGCCAATCCTTGGACCTAGAGGCAGCTCACAGAGAACAACCCATTCTTTCTCAGTCTCTCCTGACCCAGCAGGAGGCCTTGCACCCAGGCCCTCATTCCTACCCCAACCCAGGACCTAAAGATACATAAGAGTGGCTTCTTTGCTTCTCCTGTCAGAACCACAAACTTCTGGGCCTATCCAGAGGCACCAGAAGGAGGATCTGAGGGATGAGTGATTTCATGAACCTTCACTGCCCTCCCTAAACCCTGTATTGGAGCCCACCCCATCCCCCACACTGTCCCTCCACCCCCATTTTCTGCACAGAGTCAGCCTCCTTCCCTGGCTAGATCACCTGGGCAGATGAGCTGTTTAAGAAAAACAAACAAGTCAACTGACTTGGCTCTCAGTTTATCTAGGCAGGAATATTCAGTGCAACTTAGTTCAGGTCTCAGTTACATCTTTAATCTGTAAGAAAAAAAAAAAAGCCTGCAACCTTCCCTATCTTGTGATTTAGGGGCTCTAGAATGACCCCAAAATACCTCTCCCACCAGCCTATCCAATCTCCCATAATCTCACAGTGTGGTTTTGTGATTTATACCTTTGCGGGATGTCAGAGCTGACGGGAACCTTGCCAGATTACGTAGTTAAAACCCCTTCATTTTATAGATGCAGACAGAAGCTGAGGCTCAGAAAAGGGAAGTCACATGCCCAAAGTCACACAAGTAGCAACTGAACCAAGACAGCTCTTTGGGTTTCCATTTCCTAAACTGTAAAATGAAGGAGGTTAACTAAAGGTTAGACTAAGTGGACTCTGAAAGTCCTGCCAGCCTCTGCTCTGCAAAAATAAAACTATCACCACCTCTGTGCGGCACCTAGTACCAGACACTGCAATTTTCTTCTTTAATTTTCACAATGAGCTGTGCTACAGATAGTGCTGGTGCTGTGACCATGTATTACCCAGTCCATCCAAATAGTTCCATTGGGAACATCATTTGTGCCTATGTAAAATATCAGCCCAAGTGCCAGATGCCACTCTGCCACACACATCATTCCCTTGGGTCTCAGGCTCCTTCAACCTTTTAGAGACTTCTGCTAAGATACCTGTACTCTTGAGAAAGGGAATATTTTAGTCGCACTATTAGCTGCTCCCTGAGCAGGAGTCCACATGTGAAACTGAGGTTTCTCATAAAGTCATCCAATAGAGACATCATGGGCCTGGAGTTGGGGGACAGCAATCAGATGTTCCTTGGCCACTGCACAGTTCCTGTAACTGCAACCCTAGGCTGGCCTGACCCAGCTGCTGCAGGAAGGGGAGGGGAAATGCGAGGAGGGGAGGTTGGTTAGTGCCAACAGCAAGGCTATTGCACAACTCTTGGGGCCCAGGCCTTGGGAGATCCACCCCAGTTCTAAAGATTTTTCTGTGTGTCTGATTTCTTCCTTCCCTGCCTCCTCCCCTGCTTTCCAGCACTGGGTCTTCCCAGCTCCCAGTGTCAATACTGAGACCCCAGATGTGGCCAGAGACACCCTGAAGAGGCTGAGGGGCGGAGGAGTCTTAGTGCACCCACAGGGAGATTCCTGAGGCTGACTCAGAGCCAGAGAATTTGCCTGCTATTTGGTGAGTCTTCCAGATTCAGGTTGCCCTTCCTCTGCTCTGTCAGTTGAAACTACTCTGCAGAAGATATCTAAGAAAACTGGTAACGGTGACCGCTCTGGGAAAGAGTCCTGGACTACTGCGGATAGGGAGACCTCATCTTCACTGTGTGTACTGTGTATACATTTTTACTAGATTTAAACATTTTTTCCACCACAATAAGAGTATATGCTCAAGCAAGCCTGGAGGGAGGCAGGACAGGGGTAATAGTCTTCTTTCATTGTTGTTTATAATCATGGTTTAAAAAATACATAAAATTTACCATTTAATCATTTAAAAATTTATGATTAAATTTAATCATTTTTAAGTGTACAGCTCAGTATCATTAACTGTATTCAGATCATTGTACAACAGATCTCTAGAACTTTTTCATCTTGCAAAACTGAAACTCTGTACCCATTGAACAACTCCTGATGATAATCATTTTGACAGATGAGGAAACTAAAGCCAGTACAGGGCACGAAGCCCATTTTCTTCAAAGTGGGATCTTCCAGGCACTCCATCTATCTGTTATCTGCCCGTAAAACTGTCTGAGGCCCTTTTTTCCCTAAGCCATTCCCCACATACCTCTCACAAATCACATCTGTACGATCTTAACTCCTGCCCCCACTTTATCATCCTCATGGCCCCAGCTCAGGACTCAGTGTCTTCTGCCTGAACTATTTCAAGACCATTGTCATTAGGCTCCCTGCCTCAGTTCTTGCCTCCTCCAGTCCACATAGCAGCCAGAGTGTCCTTTCAAAGCACGAATCTCATTATTGTATTCCCTTTAAAAAATACTGTTCCATGGCTCTTCCCCAACTACAGGATAAAGTTCCAACTCTGCAGCCTGACACTCAAAGCTCTCCATGATCTACTTCAGAGCAGTCTCTTTATCTCATGTCCTATCTCTTTTTTTTAAAATTTAATTTTTAATGTTTATTTTTGAGAGAGAGCTTGAGCAGGGGAGGGGCAGAGAGAGGGAGACATAGAATCGGAAGCATGCTCCAGGCTCTAAGTTGTCAGCATAGAGCTTAACGCAGGGCTCAAACTCATGAACCATGAGATCATGACCTGAGCTGAAGTCAGCCACTTAACCGACTGAGCCACCCAGGCTCTTCTAAACACTTTTGTTGTCATGCTTATTTACCTCTTTACTTTTCTTGCACTCTCTACTTCTTAAAATCCTTTCAAGGTCCAATTCAGATGCCTCAGTCACTGTGAATACTCTCTGAGCCCTGATCAGAACTTGTTCCTTCTTCCTCTAAGCCCTAGTAGCCCTTGGCTTGTTGCTTGCATTATACATCAGCTGGCAATATGTCCCTAAGTGCAGGGACTGTGTTTGAGTCCCCCCAAGCTCCCAGTATAAGGCCTGCCTAACAGTGGGCCTCCATAAATGATGACTGGCTGAATGATGAGTCGAGCCACTAATTTCATTGTGCTGCTCCTGCTTTCCATTGGCCCATACAAGGGAAGAAGAAGGCACAAATTTCTTACTTGACAAGTGGGGTAGTAGATGAGAATCTCTGCCTTCTGGACCTTAACTCCACGAGCCCTTGTTCTTTTCCCCTCCCCTATCCAGATGAGGTAGTCCAAGTACTACATATCAGGAAGCCCCAAAGGCCTTGCATGAAATATAAGCCAGTCCTGGATGACTGCTGTATTATTTGGATTCTTCCCCCTAACTTCTGCATTCATAGGGTTATTCATGAATATTTATCATGGTCATAACAGTCATCTTTTCTTTGGAAGAGACCATATGGGTAATATTCAAGTTTGTTAACTTTGGTTAGGTTAACAGATCTACCTAGATAAAGGAGGGTTTTGGAACCAGTTAGTGAACTCTGAGTGTTTGGCCTGTGGATAAGTCCCTGAAGTAGCCATTTTTACTGGAGACCATTGAAGGAAGAACAGCCAGCCAGTGACTAGGTAGACCCCTGGGAAAACACAACACCCAGCCAGTCTCAGGGTAATCCGCTAGACTTGAGGGAGAGACACAGTCCTGCTGACCAGGAGTGTGTGGTCTGCTTATACCCTTATCAATAACAAGAGGCAATAACACAGTGCCTTACATATAAGTGCTGGCTCAAAGGGAAGGCTGCAACAATAAAGCTTGTGGAATATCGTTAAGGGATAGAGAGCACTCGAAGAAGTCTTCCTGGAAGAAGTGAGTGTGAAGCCTTTTTTAAAGGGAATGACATGATTTTTCAGAGATTAGGATACAGACTATCTTTGGATGTTTTTCTACATTACAGACTACAGATATCTAAGAGGAAGGGGAAGGAAATTTTATTATATACCAGGTACACAGTGACTTTGTGTCACAAGGCAGGAGAGTTGAAGTGCTTATCTCTTCTCTCTCTGGGGTAAGAAAAACTCCAACCAGACTGAGTGTTCCTTTCACTGCCCTGTCCTCAGGTCCAACCCTGTTCTTCTTTTCCCTGGTGTCTGTAGTGGTTATCAGCCTCTCCCTGTTTCCCCCACCACCTCTTTTCCAACAGAATTTCCCCTAAATAGCTAGCAATACCTAGAATGTTTGGGACATAGGATGCTTGAGAGATCAAATGACCCAGCCTCTGGTCTCCAGGTAGGGTGAAACCTAAGTCATCCCCAAACATCTTGTAAATGTTGTCTGTGGAATATAAAAAACAACTGTGCTGAAGGAGGGTTCTGGATAATGTCTTCCGACGGTGCCACACAGTCCTGCCGAGAGCTGGCCCAGGAACCAAAGGACCTCTAAGCCGGCCATCGCAGAGAGGGACACTGTCTTGGCTCTACTTCCAATATTCTCTGTGATTGTGGAAAGGCCACTTAATTCTCTGTGGGCCTCGGCTTCCCTTTGTATAAAATGGAAGGAATTAGAGAAAATAATCCCTAAAGTCCTTGTAGCCTAAAGCTTAGTGATTTATAGAATAAGAAAAAAAAAAAAAGATTAATATGGATTACAATGGTCAAGGAAGCCTTTATTCCACAAGTAGTTATTGAGCATCTATCGTGATGTCTTAAGTGTTTGCATATAGCAGTTAGTAAAACAGACACGGTCCCTGCCTTCATTGACCTGGCAGTCTAGTGAATCAAGTAGAAGACAGACAAGTAAACAAATAAGTAGACTAAACCGTGACGTTGGTATTTTAGCTGGGGTCTGAAGGAGTCAGGACGGAATTCAAGCTGCAGATGACGGAAGCCATCTCTTCTCTCTTTTCTGTCCCCAGCAGAGCGTCCTCTGGTTCTTTGCCCACTTCAATCCCTGTTGCTATGGAGACCACCAATGGGACTGAAACTTGGTATGAAAGCCTGCATGCCGTGCTGAAGGCTCTCAATGCCACTCTTCACAGCAACCTGCTCTGCCGGCCAGGGCCAGACAGCCTGACAAAGGAGCGGCGGGCAAACCTACCTGGCCGTGATGACAACTCTTACATGTACATTCTCTTTGTCATGTTTCTATTTGCTGTCACTGTGGGCAGCCTCATCCTGGGATATACTCGCTCCCGCAAAGTGGACAAGCGCAGCGACCCCTATCACGTGTACATCAAGAATCGTGTGTCTATGATCTGATGCTAGGGGGCCGGGAATGGCAGAATATCAAGACACCAGAACTCAGTGCTGGACCACATCAGGTCTCAGTGTCCCCATCGGTAAGATCAACAAGAAAACGTGGTCATTATTAGGGTGGGAGGAGAGGGGCTGGCAGACCTGGGCCTTGTGGATAAAGATTTTTTTTCCCAGTAAAAATGGACTTTATAGAACATGAGAGCCCCATGAACAAATATATAGAAGTAGCAAAAGAGAGTAACCAACAGCTGGTCAAGTGGCTGGAGTACTGGGAGCTAGGAGCTGGAGGCTGGCGGAAGGAGAAAAGAAAGCTGTCGCAGAAGGAAATGAAACAGGAAGATGCATGGAGAACATATTTTTTGATGCGTTATCTTCAACGACTATGAGAAGCAGCAGTGATTACCATATCATAGATAAGAAATGAGTAACGTTACTTATTTATACTTGTTCACATTTTATATTTTTGAAGACATGTAACATTTGTGATTTTACCCCCTGTGAGGGAAGCAAAGTAAGTACCATTCTGCCCATCTGGGAATGATGGGCATCATAACTGCCCATCTAGTTAATGCCGTAACTAGAACCTAGGAGCGCTGGCTTCCCTGCCTAGTGCTTTTCAAAACTGTGCCACACGGGACAGGATCCAGGCCTGAAACATATACAATTCTGGGAAGCCTCCTTAAGAAAAAGAATTCCAAAATATTTCGCTTTTGCAAATATTACAAAAACATAATGTTAATACATTACTAGGACCCTTCCTAAGACCCTAAGGATCCATGCAAGCGCAGGGCCCTGCATGTTAAGGGTCTTTGCTCCAGGATTCGTGTGCCTCTCCAGCTGTGTCACAGTGCCCTTCCCTACCACATCTCCAGTCACTACCTCTAACATAGCCTCTTCTGAGCTGATTAAATTCTGGGAGGAATTTTCTGATACCAAATTGAAATCTGCTTCTTGAAGATTATTATCACACCTAGAAGATTGCCATAGTAAAAGAAGGAGCATATGCAAGGCAGGTACCCGGTTCAGTAGAAGGATTCTGGTACATGAACTGGGTGTTCACGTCTTTCTCTGATCCTTTTCCCACCTCCTTACAATGAAACAGTTCTACTTGAAAGTCTCTAAGAGCTCTACCAGTGCTGACATTCTAGTCTTCACATACATTAGGTTAAACTATAAAATTGTGTTTGTACATCAAAAGCAGCTGAATATCAGTAGTTTTCATATGGTTCAGCCTAATATGTGCAATGTGAAAAGTGAATACCTTACAAGCTACAAATCCCAGGTTGGAACCTCTCACTGTTCTGTTTGATTTTTGTTTAAGGGATCTACATAGGGTTTTCAGAAGTCCCTATTGAAACATACATATTTGTATATAGTAAAAACTCTGATAATTGATTGCAATTATCTCTGGAAACGAGGATTGTGGTTTTCCATTTTTTACTTAAAAATTATGTAATATTTGATTTATTTGACCATAAGTATGCTACTTGTATAATTGGGGAAGGGGAGCTATTTCACCTTCAAAAAAAATCAAAATAAATGCCTCTGTGTTTCTTGAATGAAAGATACAGAACACATTCACTCCAATGAACAGTTAGTTATGTTAACTCCCTGCAAATCTGTGCTGAACCCCATGTGTGCTCAAGCCTTTCCTTGGCTCTTCTTTTTTTTAATGTTTATTTATTTATTTTGAGAGAGCAAGCATGAGCAAGGGAGCTGCAGAGAGAGAGAGAGAGAGAGAGAGAATGCCAAGCAGGCTCCCCGCTGTCAGTGCAGAGCCTCATGTGGGACTCAGTCCCACAACTGTGAGATCATAACCTGAGCTGAAATCAAGAGTCAGATGCTTAAGTGACTAAGCCACCCAGGCTTATTAGCTTTCCTCAGCTCTTCTTGAAGGAGAAGGCAGAGACCTATTTAAGAAGATTTGACATATGGGAAGACAACAGACTCAGAAGTCTGCAGTTGAACGAGACTTTAGAGACCATCCAGTCCAAACTCACAAATAGGAAATGCAACCAAGTATAGGAATGAGTGGTCAGGCTAGAAGGGTTGTCAACAATGAGACTGCATAGATTTTGAGGAGTCGGACAAAGGTAGAATTTGAAGTGGGTCTTGAAACGATAGGACTGATCTGAGTGGGCACAGTGAAAGAAGAGAACAAGTGGGGGTGGAAATGTGGTGAAACTACACACCTAAAGAGAGTGGTTGGCTGGGAAATTGGGCAGGAAGCAGGCCCAGTGTGGCATCTTTGGGACTTCAGTGTCCCTAACCATGGAAGTGGCTCCCTTCACAGAGTCCTTACACTTACAGGGTTAAATAATAAAATAAGTTCTTTTGCTTGCAACTTGCAGAAACCCAGTGTATATTAACATTAACAGGAAAGGTGATTCATTGAAGGGAGCATGGGGCAGTCAGTCACAAGTTCAAAAGAAGAGCTACAGCCACCAGGGCAACTCCAGAGCCAGAACTACTTATTTGTCTGAATTCACAAAGTAAGGGCTCTATATACGTCATTACTCCCCTCCCCACTGCCCAGCTCTACCCCACCCCAAATGTTTGGGGAGTTCAGTGGCAATACCCTCTCAGCACATAGAATTTTTTATCTGCACTGGTTCTGCCCTCTGCTGGCCAGATCCCAGAACATCACCTTGAGCCCTCAAAGCAAAACAATAATCCCTCATTCACCAGATATTTATTGAGGACCTACTATGTGCCAAGCACTCATCTAGGCACTCTTGGAATACATAAGTAAAGAATATCAAAGAAATCCCTGCTCTAACATTTAAGATAGTTTGATATATATATGTCAGGTAGTGGTCTAAGCATTTTACACACATTAACTCATTTACCTTCTAATACCCACGTAACAACCCTTATTAGTAGGTATGCCTTATAATTAAGTCAGTAAACCCCAATAGTTCCTCCTCTAACTGCTGCACCACATTCGACCCAACTTTGGCACCATGGTACACCCAACCCAGGGTGTGGATCTGAATTGTCCTTTGAAATGAATGGGAAAGTCATCTGGGGAAATGATAGCACAGCACTAACCCTGACAGGTTGAGGCTGGGTACCCTAGAAGCAGAATCTGAGACATGCATTTATTGATGGGGCACTTTTGCGGAAAAACCTACAAGGGAGAGAGGGAAGTAGATAGGAAAGGGAAAGAGCTAAAGTGTGTCTCATGTCATGTCCCTGGCCTGATCCTCAGGGAACTGGTCTTCATGGCAGGGGCACAGACTACACAGCAGGATTACAGCCCCTTGAGGCAAGGGGGGGCTGCCCTTTTATGCCTCCATGTAGTCAGTCGTTGTTTGTGGGCCACCCTGGTGGGGAGTGGGGGACAAGAAGAGGGTTGTAAGGAGGATCTCATCAGCTGAGGGCAACTCTCTGGAGACAGGTGGCACCTGTGAGCTACTGCAGGGTAGCACAGTGGGAGAAAGCTAAGCAAGGAAGTTGTCCTAATTGGAGGTTTGCAACAGCCTGGTTCCTCAGGAAGGTTCTGAAGCTCACTATTCCATCACAGAATTGCCCCACCTTTTATGGCTATCATTTTCTGCCCTGTGTCACTCATCATTGGCTGATGGCTGCTAGAGGGGGTACTTAGCCTCAGAGGGGTGCTCACTTCTGACTGAAGCTCAGATCTCTGGAGAAGGGAGCAGTTCTGAGCTGATGGCAGCCAACACCCACAGCATCTGGAGAAGGGGACCTCTTTGGGCTCTGTGAGTGTCTACTACAAATGTGCTGTTAGGGAAACAAGAGTAGAAGCAAAGGTGTCACATCTCAGGAGTTCCTTTTAGTTTAACAGGCAAGAAGCACATGCCAAACGGAGAATAAAACAAGGTAACACCAAACAGAACTGATGTAGTTAAGTACCAGATAATGTGGGGAAAGGTTATTACAAATGATGGTCAAGAAGAGGAGAGGGAAGTATTCATGGATGTTTTCTGGCGAATTGAAGAAGGATATTACGAACAACATCAAGGATTTGATTAGGAGGTCCAAGGCAGGACTGCAAGTATGTGGATGGCTGTACTCTACTCCGTCATTCAGGGACTTAGGATAATGACTGCCATCTTCTACATGCAGCTTCCAAGTTCCCTCTGGTTGGAGCATTTCTAGGTAGTGAGGAGAGAGAAATAATAGAAAACCAGGGCCAGGATTTCCTCTTAAGCAAACAAGGCAAAAGTTGCACGCATCCCAACTGCTCACACTCATCGACAAGGGCTTAGTAACATGACTACCACTGGCTGCAAGGCAAGCCGGCAAATGAGGTTTCTGCCTGGGCAGTGATGTCCTGGCCAAATCTCTATTGCTATGGAAGGGAAGAATGGATTTTGGTGGACAGCTAGTCATCTTCACCCTACCCTCCTCACTCTTTTCCCCAGGACGGGCCATGAATGAAAAATGTACAGCCTTATCAAGAAGAAAGAAGTGCTGTTACTCTGACTTGGTCATGTTTTGGGGGGGTGGGATGCAGAGGTCAGAGCCTGTGGGTATATCTAAGCCTGTCCTGGCAGTGTGACCTTTGCTCATTTTTTTTTTCCTGGTATTGGTGAATCTTGTCTCGTCTCTCCTAGGAATGGTAATATCCAAGATACTGGTTTAAGCATAAGGGAAATAGACAAAGCAAGGCTTTCAGCCAACTTTGTGTGGGAAAAAGAATCCTATTTCAGGTGTCACTAAGAAACCAAGAATATGATCTGCCTAGATGAAATCCGAGAACCCATCTGTGGCAGTGGTTAAACACTGACAGAGAATGAGCTCCTGGGGAGGAGGAGAGTCAGAAAGTAGTGACCAGGAAAGAAAAAGTGAAGAAAAATGAGTTTTTGATGAGCAGCCAATCTCTGCTAGGCACTGTGTTGAGAATTTGCATGTTACCTTATTTCACCTTCTCAGAAGCTCTTAACTTTTCTAAACCATCATTTTATAGATAAGGAAACAGAAGTTCAGAGGTGAAATAGCTTCTTTAACATTCAGCTAATAACATGAGGCTATCTTGATTTTAACACTGACTTGCCTGCATTCAAAGCCCATGTTCTCCCTGAAGTGGGAAACAATGGCAGGAGGAAAAAAATTAAATTTCCTGATAACTTACATCCCACTGACAAGTCCTTGGCACAGGCACAGTGACCTTCCTCTAGGAGCTCAGCTGCCTCGATGATAATACTTTGCTAAGGGCAAAAGGCAATCTTAGCTTAACATTATCCCAATCTCCAGGATCCTGTAAGTTTACTTGAACCTATAAAAATTCCTTGGAAACTTCCTTTACCTCTACCTTGTAAGATATCTGTTGGCAATCATACTCCAAGCTTACAGCCCCCTGATATACATCTGAAGGGTCTCATGACTGAGTTTTTACTAAACAATAATAAATGACCCTTTTGTAACAGGAGCTAGTCTTTCAAGGTCCTGGAAACCTTGTTTCCAAAATTCCTTAGAGACTTTATCCCTAACCCTCTCCCAACTTGAAGGTATATAATCAGTCACCTCTCCCAGTCCCAGTGCAGCTCTTTCTGCCCATGGGTTCTGTCCACATGCTTTAATAAAACTACCTTTTTGCACCAAAAATGTCTCAAGTATTCTTTCTTGGCCGTTGAAACTCCAACCACTTCAAACCACATCATCCCCACGAGTAGCTCGTTCCTTTGATAGTTACATTAGATCCTTTCTCGAATGTACATCCTCCTAATCTCCCAGCAGCCTGTGGCTGGCCTCTCTGTTCCCCTTCAGGGATCATGTAGGACAACCACAATCTCATCCCTGCCCAACTCTTTCCATCCTCAACCAGGATGCCTCAAAGAGAAGAGAGGACATTGTCACAATTCTATGGGAATAATAAACCAACTAGGACAGTTCTTGGGTGAGGGTCCCTGGGTCTTTATAGCATTGACTCTAAACACTGAGGACAAGGGGAACAGAGAAGCCATCCACAGAATCTGTTGGGAGATTAGAAGGATTTAATCTCAAGAAAGCATCTAATGTGAATCATTGCCTCATCTCCCTTAGTCAGAGAGGGGGTGGGGTTATTTATGTACATCTGAAAAGAGCTCTGTAGAATAACTGCAGGCTTACAGTTCTGCTCTCGGTTTATTATTTATTCATTCATTCAACAAATATTTTTTTACTTATTTTATTTAAAAAATTTTTTTAAATATAGTTTATTGTCAAGTTGGTTTCCATATAACACCTAGTGCTCATCCCAACAAGTGCCCTTCTTCATGCCCATTACCCATTTTCTCCTCTCCCCCAGCCCCCATCAACCCTCAGTTTGTTTCAGTATTTAAGTCTCTTGTGGTTTGCCTCCCTCTCTCTCCTTAACTATTTTTGCCCTTCACCTCCACTATGGTCCTCTGTTTAGCTTCTCCTGTTCCACGTATGAGTGAGAACATATGGTATTCATTCAACAAATATTTATTAAGCACTTAGTTTTAGGTAATGTGTTTGTTACTAAGAACACAGCAGCAAATAAGGTAGACATGGTCCCTGCCTTCATGGGGACAAAGATTAGCTCACCCACTTCTGGTTTTCTAC